ATTTAATTACAAACCTTTAGACCATGTAAGTCTATCCAATAACTTCCCTACCACTTTTGGATGTGTGTCGATGTGCTTTTGAAAGCAGAAGTTTTCCACAGGTTTTTTTCAATACCTCACTGTCCAGAAAATGTGCCAGTTTGGTAAATTGTCATTGGGGATTAATTTATCAGTTGTTAAAACTATGTTGAAAGTTCTTGCTTACCTTAATGAGCGCAGCTTGTGCTGATGGATATGTTGAGCCAAAGTTCTTGAGGCTAGGGGCTCCTCTCACTCCTTCAATGTAAATAAAACATGTGATTATTTCCACCTGGCCCTACAGTAGCTCTGTCTATCACTGAAGCTATAAATCACATTTCTTCTTTCTCAGGGGTATGCCATTCCCTTTCTCCTTAATCTGCAAGATTTGCGTGCTTGGTTGACTATATATAACTCTGTTTTTAGCTCATTGACCAGCTGCTACCCTGCAACTGTAGCGCACACAACAGTCTTCCCACATTTGCCTTCAAATAACATGGTTTCAGGTGTTCATTCATACACATTTGCCTTGCATTTGTGGTTTAGCAGAACTTAACAAAACACGGATTTCATGGGCAGAATATTAAAGCTGTTTTTCAGCTCGGTTTCTTGACATTATCGCAACACCAGAGAGCACCGTATGTGGGTTTATGTTGCTTTTGAATTAAACGCTTAGGGATTTGCTCCATTTAGGAAAGAGGCTACAGTTCTGCCAGCAAGTAAGATAAAAAAGAAATCCCGCCTCCAAGCTGCTTCATGCTGTTCTGAAGGTCAACTGCTTTCTCAAAATACCCTCGTTAAACCGTTGGACCTAAATATACAACGATATGCTTAAACATTGGTTCTTTCTCTTTGATTCCTGGTTGAGCTACCATCTTAAAGCCATTCTGTATGGAAGTCTTGTTTTCCATGATGCAATAACATGCAAAGCAATTGGACAAAATGAGAACCCTTATGCTAGTCATCTTACTTCTTAGCTGCACAAGATCATGTATGTGCGTCTTGGAAATCTCTTTAAAAAGTTGTCGTTTTTTTTGTCACCCGTCCTGTGTAAAGGTCCATGTGTTTGTTCAGATATTCCTCCTGGCAGAGGAGACAAGCAACACCCAGACTGGAAGAATCTGTCTACCTCTCCCTTCAAATTGAGCATCCAACTGTCAAACTAAGATTTTTGCCCTTTGGCCAAGTCGTTAATTGTCAGTCATTGTGATGAACGATGGGCGAAAAAAAAAAAAAAAAAAAAACCTGCAAAAAAAAAAAAAGAAAAAAAAAAAACAAAAAAAGAAAAAAAAAATCCTCATGGAAAATTTTCTGAGGTGCAACAAAAAAAAGGCAGTTAAAAAATCTATACTGAAAGGCATTTACACAATGGTAACAACTTTAGGAATCTTGTCTGTAGGTATTCGTTGTTTATTTTCTGACTCGCAGCATCTGTCTGTGTACAAAACATTATTGTCTGCAGTGAAGACATCCGCTCTGTATCCCTCATTGGAAATTCTGCTGCTTTCTTTAGAAAGCAGAGATGAAGCGTTGACCCCTCTTAGAGAGGAAGAGTGTTGTTGTAGTACCACGCACCCCTTTTTCCATTCCACTCGCCTGTCACTTTAGACAGCCTCTCACTTGAGAGCTCTCTCTAAGATCAGCACTAAACTCTCTCCTTAGTATCGGCAAGTGTTCGAGGAAGCACTCTCCTCATGGTGGGCTTTTCTTAGACTCCTTGGGCTCATTGCATATTCATAGCTACCTTTAGAGTTAAGAGCATAAAAATACCAAGAAGGTTTTAATTATTCACTGTCATATTGTCAATATGCTGCTTTTGCTGCCAGTCAAGTATCTATTCCTCTCTGTTAACCAACATGGAGATCTTTTTCCCATGAGCTTAGACTGTTAAAACAATTAAATGCCACACAAATCACTCAAATGCAGCTACTGCTGTGATGGGACACTGAGAGATTGCAATTCTTAATCAAGTGTTGGGCCAAGCTGATGATACCCTCTAAACTAAACATAATGCCTTCTAAAAACATTGCACTGCAAGCTGCCCATTATTGTACTTAAAATCTATTTTAAGGAAGGCTTATTTAAATGAATCAAAGGAGTAAAGATTCTACTTTTTAGTGTGGTGTTTATTATACCAATCAGATTTTGTCTGTAGAATCCATCAGTATGATCTATAAAAAGTTAATTGATCCATTTCTAAATTAGGTTTAGGTATAATCTGTAAACAAGTCTCCCTTTCTCCTGCATTTTGAGTGAAATGCAGAAAGGTGTTTATTTAGGTTGGAGAAAAGTGCGAACTCTTCTCATCTGTCTTGAATTCACATTAAACACATGATACTGATAATTGTATACTCGCGTCTTTGGAAATGAACAGCATCCAAATTAGAACACTTTTGTAGCTTCTACCTGTTATGAAATTAGAAATAAGAAAAAACAACACATTCTTCGGTTCACATTTCCCTGTGCATGGCTATTTTTTGTCAAGTGACATAAAAAAGTCAAGCCCAAAGCAAAGCATATAATTGTTTCAGTAAAAAAAAAAAATACAACTTTGTATTAATTTAATGATATTACCCTGATTTTGTTTGTTCTTGGATCAGTAAAAAGTGCATTGCATACTACTCTTTCAAATGAAAACACGCTGAAACACTTCCATGTATCTAGTTAAAAGTGAGAAAACCCCTGGTTCCCTGGACCGTCTGCCTAATTAGAATGAAAAGTAGTGTTTCATTAATCCTTTTTCCTTTTAATTAAAACTCTGATAGACATTGTGTGAAGTCTATAAAGCATCCTACAATAAAACCCACATGATACCAAACTAATTAAAGAGTTTCAACATATTCTTCAAGCACTCTTTAAAAGTGCCTGAAGAGTATCTTTGACTGCATGACCATGTAATATTAGAGAATTCCTGCAGGACCCCTGGCTACTCATTTTCAGTGTGCTTTTACACCGTTCCTGTAAGCGATAAAATTCAAATGATCATATGCAAACATGTCCTCGCAAGAGAAAACAAAATATGATTCCTACGCATTCCCAGGAGTAACTCTGTGTCATGTCGTCCTCCTGACTAATACCCAGCATGTCTTGCTGAGCACTCACACTCTCTGCCTCAACGGGGACCGAAAACGAGGCTGTGGTTGACAGGGGTGAGCTATGTGCTGCTCTGCCTCACGGGAGGTAATGAATCTGTGTGGCTGCCTAGACTCAAGTGTAGACAGCAGGAGGAAGAAAAGTGATCAGTCTTTCATGGGGAGGTAGTACTTGTGGGTCACTGATAGCACAAGTGACATAAAACAAAAGCAAAGAATGAGAGGGGGTTCATCTGAGAGAAAATGAATAAAGAGGTGTGAAGTAGAAATCACCGTTTAATTTAAAAATGTTCAATAGAAAGAAACTAAAATGAGACGGGAATCAAAATAGAAACAGACAAAAGGAATGTTTGGCTTCAGAGAGAAAGAGTCGGGTTTGGGGGAAGAGGATGACGTGTCACTCAGCGAGTGTTACCATTCTTGCGGAAATATGCTCCCTGTTCCCCCACAACACACTCTAAACCACCACAGAGGGTGGTTCATTATTTTCACTTTTCTCCCCCACTAATTATCATCATCGTTACAGGGTATAATTACCATTTTGCCGCCTAACACCCATGTAGACTGTTCAACTCTGAGTCACTCAGAATGTTATCAATATCTGCTCAATTGCAGTCTCATCTGCCTAATTATAAGATTTGGTCTTTGTGATAACTGAATGGGATGTGAAATCTAGTTGTATGTCTTGTGAGTATTGGTGAGATTCTAAAAGTCAGCAGAAGGCTCTGAAATAAGCCATTGCTTTCGGAGGCTGTTAATTAAAATCTGTGCCTTTCTCCAGAATATAAATCAGAGAAAATCCAAGGTAGTGAAAAACTGAAAGTGTCTGAAACATTATCCAAACTCGAACAGAGCTAAAAATGCAAAAGAGATAAAGCCTTTTAGTCGTAACTTGAGATCCTCTTCTTTTGATTCTGTTGGGTCATTACCTTTTCTAGAGAACCTTGAGATTTAACAGATTTTACGGGTTCAGTTGTCTTTCATTGACAAAGATCTTTCAGTAAGCCGGCTAACATAGCTTTAATTCAGTTATTTCAGTTTTATGATAAGACTGAAGCGCCACAGCCTGCAGTTGTCTAACCGACCTGTACCAAGAAGCCAGGCTCTGACTTATGTTAAGATTAGTAGCTGTGTTTGTCAAGGGGGTTTCTAAATCCCTCTGTGGCATTTTGGAGCTGCAGCTGACGCCTCCAAACTGATGAATGGTGTCTCCATCTGTGGTAGCTCAACCTTGGAGCGCAGGACTGACACAAGCTGGAGGAATTCATAAGACCTGCTGACTGTAACAGACAGATAACTGTGGAGCTGAGACCACATCTTGGGTGGGAACCCAGGCATGAGGGCATGGATGCCAAGAGTTGGGAGAAGAGACAAAGAGGGGCACCATATGAGCATATGATGGACAGTTGGACCAGGGTAGAAGAATTTGTGCCACAAACTACCTCTTGACAGGAAGGAGGCACATCCTCTTTGACCCCAATTACTTGAAGTGTTTCTTTCCATGAGCTAATCTGTGGCATGAATGCTGTCGCCTCCAGTGTACCGTACAGACTTACTTTTCAAGCCAGTTATGTGGGGATAATGGCATTGTTCTGTTGACCTGGATGTGTGGATGTGTCAAAGAAAGACAAAGCGCTGTTTTATGTAAAGCCTGTTAGAAAAGATGACATTTTATCCGGAGTTTTTCTTTTTTACTTATTTTGGAGTCTGAAAGGATCATTTCCGTTGTAAAATGTGTTTATGTTAGATATAGATTGTTCAAAATGAAATACGAAAAGACATAATGTGATTTTTTTTTTATAATGTTGTTACTCTAATAGTTTTCCTTACTGTAGTGTATTCACAGTGGCCTATTATCTAACCCCCTTCTCTTCTCCTATTTCTCCACAGAGACACTCATGGACTCCACCACAGCCACGGCGGAGCTCGGCTGGACAGTTTATCCTGTGTCGGGGTCAAGTGATAATAGCGTATGTGACTTAGTCTACTCCCCTGCACTCCTACTCCTAATATCCCATTTATAATGGGTTTTACCCTCTCGCTTTGCATTCCCTATGCAAAAAGTTAACAGTTTTTAAGTTTAGATATGTTCATATTTGCTGCTTTTACTACAGAAACATTTAAGTGACATCTATATAATAAATCCATTATTTTAACAGTCTTATCCCTCTAACTGCACATTCTTACGCATTCAGCATATTTAAATAATCCCCAAAAGCCCATTTGTATATATATATATATATATATATATATATATATATATTAGGGCTGCAACTAACGATTATT